ATAGAAGTATGGAGAGACTGAAGAAATTTGGACAGCAGAAGAGCTATAGTTATTGAGAGTGTGCACGAGGGAGAGAATATGAAGAGGGAAGAACAAAGAGTGAAAGAGAGTGAGGACGTAGGAGGGATGTCGCAGGGGGAGGAGAGAGAGACAGAACAAGAGAGGTTTCGAGTGTGGTCGGAGAAATGTGCCCAAGGGCAATACGAGAAGATAGTTGTGTCATCAGAGGTGAATGCAAGGACAGGTCTACTTAAATCCAATTCCTGAACTCGACCCCAGTCCCCTCCCCGTCTTTGAGGACCAGGACTTGGGCACAGTCTGTCTTTATTTAGCTCAGCTTCTTGAATGAAAAGACAAAATGATCATTTAGCTCTGCTGCTTGGCACTTTTTAATGAACATTTTTATTATTTACAAATTGAAGTTATAGAAAGAGTAATTGGAATGGTGCTATTTCTCCCTGGCCCCGGAGTCAAGAGAAACATTGAAATGTGCCCCATTATCCGTGAACTAAGATTGGACAAGCCACAACTACTCTCAGAATGTTACATAGAACATAGAACAGTCACAGTACAGGCCCTTCGGCCCACGATGTAGTGCCGAACTTTTACCCTAAACCTAAGGTCTATCCAACCTCCACCCCTACCTTATACTATCATCCATATGCCTATCTAATAGCCGCTTAAATGCCCCTAATGAGGCCAACTCCACTACCCTCTCCGGCAATGCATTCCACGCCCCGACCACTCTCTGAGTAAAGAACTTACCTCTGACGTCTCCCCTATATCTACCTCCACTCACTGTAAAACTATGCCCTCTCATAATAGCTACCTTCACCCTAGGAAAAAGTCTCTGGCTGTCTACTCTACCTATACTTCTGATCATTTTGTACACCTCTATCAAGTCACCTCTCATCTTTTGTTGTTCTAAAGAGAAAAGCCCTAGCTCTCTCAACCTTTCAAAGGTTGCGACAACCTTACAACAGCGACAGGCTGCTTCATTGCTGCAAATTTGAATTGAAATTATAAAATTCTGAATTGATTGATTCATTAGTGATGTTTGATTGCTGGCTGAACCTCGTCTGGGTCACAGCATACATTGCGGTGTTTGTGCAGCAGCTTAGGAACTGCAGCATGAAGCCCAATTCCTGCACAAAATAATGTAGATACATTGACTGAAATCCTATACCATACATCTGGTACCATACAGAATTCACTATTAATGTTGATCATAACAGGATAAAATTTGCTGAGATCACAAACAATAAGATGATGTTTTATCCATTTACAGGATGAGGGCATTGCTGACCAGGCAGTATTTATTGCCCATCCCTAATTGCCCAGAGGGCAGTTAAGAGTCAACCATATTGCTGTGTGTCTGGAGTCACATGTGGGCCAGACCAGGCAGTTTCCTTCCCTAAAGGGTATTTGTGAACCAGATGCATTTTTCTGACAATCGGCAATGGATTCATGGTCATCATTAGATTCTTAATTCCAGATGTCTTATTGAATTCAAATTCCACCATCTGCCATGGCAGGATTTGAACCTGGGTCCCCAGAACATTGTCTGAGTCCCTGGATTAACAATCCAGCGATAATACCACCAGGCCATTGCCTCCCCCATTACATCTAGTCATTACATTTCAGTCTTCCTCTGACTCTCCACATTGCTGTAAACCCAGAGTCTGCTGCGGGCTCTGCTGGTCTCTAAACTGTATCTTATGGTAAAAACATTGGGAAGCATAATGAAGGGAAATGCGGAGTTGGGGTTAGGATGTGGTGGAGGAACTCAATTATGACCCAGAATCAATAGTAATTAATACCAATTGTTACATCACAAAACCAGTGGTGGGTCACCATTTGTATTTGGGTTTGTGAAACTGAATAAATCTACTTCTGAAATCTGGGGTGTTTACATCTTCAGTCTAACACTCTCCCACATGCCACTCTCTCAGAGTCTTTCCGGTCATTTACCCAGTCACGACAGAAGCACATTTCAACAAATCTGATTGACCAGCACATGATCCAGAATCTCCCTACAATTTACTGCGTATGCTCGTTGATGTTAGCAAACACAGCAAATTATAAAACAGAACCTCAAAAGAAACAGCATCCAGATTACTGCATGAGTCATGGGAGACCTGGCAAGAAAATTACAATTAAAACTACAGAGATGTAGCAGCATTTATACCTACATATCGATAAATAGGAATATTTCCACATATAATGTTTGTTTGCAATTGTCGGAGTATTCTTGGTGCCCTTCTGAACGATTTGCATAAATCATCTCAATGGAGATGAGGGTAATTTAGAAACTAAAAATATTGAAAAGTGTAACAAACTGAATAACGCATTAGACGTGCTGCCTGTGGAAAGTTACTTGCTTCAGTCTATCCTCATTGACATCTTTGTTAATGTAATTGATGACAATGTATACACCTAAATGATGTGGCTAAGAAACACTTTCATGACCTGAATGGTAAAGACGTGGAACTCGATTTGCACTGGTGTAAGCTGACACAAAGATGAATTATCTCAACTGTAACACAGTAAAACAGAGAATGCTACAGAAATTAAACAGATTTGACAGCATCTGTGAAAAGATATTACCGTTTCAAGTCCTGTGACCCTTCTTCAGCACAATTCTAATTGCGGAATTTGAACTCAATGAGACAAAGGGGGGGGGTAGGGGCTGGACGATGTGAGGGTGGAATTAAGGGCCATTGTTGAAAAACAAACTGTGGTTCACTAATGTCCTTTAGGGAAGAAATTGCTTTCCATACTTTGTCTGGCCTACATGTGACTCCACACCCACTGCAGTGTGGTTGACTCTTAAACGCCCTCCAGCAATTTGGGCAACAAATGGTGGTCTAGACAGTAACACCTACATCCAATGATTTTTTTTTTTTGAAACATTTGTCGTAATGGGATTGGCTGAATGTTCCACACAGCATGTTTGTAGACTTCAATCGCTTGCTTATAGCCGTAAATGAATCAATGATTGCATAATTCTGTCCAAACCCACATTCATTATCCTTTGCTTCAAATTATGTTCTAATTCTCAGTTAGAAATACTTTGTGGAGCAGTACTTCACAGTCTATAAGTATTTGTATATGAAAGTTTGGTTAAACTTGTTGTTTCTTTATAATGCTTTGAGAATTTTCTGTAGATAATTAGTACAACCATTATTATTTAGTCACTAAAGTGAGAGGATAAATTATCACTTTTCACTCTTCTAAAACTTTTCACAAATTTCAGGAAGTCTGTTAATATTCAACCCAGTTTTAACTCCCCAGTTACATATAGACTCAACAGTTAACCTAAAAATATGTAACATATGGGTCTATCTATGTCTGCACAGTGGAGCACAGAGTTAATGTGCTTTTCGTATTGGGCATTGGTCTTCTCATAGTTCCTCATTAACCCTCACGCTTATATTCTATGTGTCTATTACATAAACACTGAAATGATTTCAGGTTTTATTAAAGAATATACTTTATGGAAATAGGATGACTGTCTTCCTGGAGTTCGCTGTTCATACTCGCCATTCAGAACATTTCGATTGAAACCCATTCTCTTTCTCCAATGTTCCTGCCAGGTAACGACAAGATGATTTAAAATTACATTGTAAAATTTTCAGTGTTGCATGTCATTTCTAAGTTACAATTTTGTAGATTTAGAAAGCCCCTCAGATAACGAAACCTATATATATTTTCTGGTTCTTACAGAATGGAAATGTTCAGCTGGAAAACCACTGAAGAAAAGTAATTGGTCTGAAAACGTTATTTGTTTATCTCTTCACCAATGCTACAAGAAATATTGAGTTCCTCTAGCACTTTCTGTTTTCGTGACTAGATAATTAATATCAGTTTTACTTTGTCAGAATTTTTGGTGATGTTCCTTTTGGGTTACTGTTAAGTTACATCAAACAGACATCTTAGTAAGGTATGCAAAAACATTCATTTACTGCATTCTTATTATTTATTTCACAACTGATGCAGCGAAGATACAAAAAGTTACCCCACCATTCTGAAGAAGGGTCACTGTATTCGAAGTGGGGTTAAGGGTCTAGGCCCGAAACGTCAGCCTCTCTGCTCCTATGATGCTGCTTGGCCTGCTGTGTTCATCCAGCCCTGCACCTTGTTGTCACTGTATTCGAAGTGTTAGGTTTGTTTCCTCTCTTCGCAGATGCTGCCCAACATGCTGAGTTTTTCCCTTATGCTATATTTCTAATGTAACCGAAAATGCATCTGTACAAATCATGATTGTTAAGAGACTATAGTTTTAATGAATGTGATAGTCCAATTGTTAGAAACGTACAAGATCGAAGAAGTGAGCTGTAACATCAATGAGCTGAGTATGGACTGTTTCCTCCACAGGTCGTCAATGGTGTGAAAAGAGTCATGTCAAATTTCTCATTGATGAGATCTCTTTCATAATGTGTGCACACAGTACAATATTCTGATCCAGTGTCCGAGAGAAGTATCAAGACATGTGGACATACTGTACCACTGCTTATGTCTAAACAAACAAAAACAAAGTTGCTGGAAAAGCTCAGCAGGTCTGCCAGCATCTGTGAAGGAAAAAGCAGAGTTAATATTTCGGGTCTGGTGACCCTTCCTCAGAACTAAGTTGTGAGGAAGGGTCACCAGACCCAAAACGTTAACTCTGTTTTTTCCTTC